ACACACACACACACGTAAATAAATACTCACCTAGAATAAGTGAACAAGCTTTACATATGGCTTTAATGACCTAAAACATGTTTTTTTTTTTTTTAATCACCAAAAAAAGAAAGAAAGCCATGTCATTTCATAAGAGTGAAAGTCATTTGGCTAGAAGAGCAGTCGTTTGTTTTGTTTGCTTGCTGTTTTGTTTTGGTGGGTCCTTTTGAACCGTCAGGATGAGGTGGCTGGAAAGCTCCTTTGAGATGATTCCCAGGTTTCTTGCCTAGACTGTGAATAAACAGGACAGATCTAGTATAGCAGTTTGTGTAGGTCAAATCTTTTATAGCAAGTGTTGCAGGGCTTTCGTATTTTTGTGCTAATGGGGTTTTGTTGCAATGAGAACCTGCTAGAAACCACACTCCACTGTGCAGAGAGTTGGTGCCTGGCCTCCTGTCTTTTTAGCCCAGGGATTCAAGAAGTGAATGGGGCACCATTCATTCTGGGCTTTCGTTTGTTCACTCATTCAGCAAGGGTGGGTCAGGCACTGTGCTAAGCCTGGGTTGACAGAGGGAGACAGACATACAGTTTCGAAAGATTCAGCAGATCTTTCATCACTCCTGTGCTCCTCCAGTACTCCTGGACTTGGGGTGGTTTTTGTTTAGAACACTGATTCTTAATTTTGTAGTTATTTTGTTGTTGTTGTTGGGTGCTGTCAAGTCGATTCTGACTCACGGTGACCCCGTGTGACAGAGTAGAACTGCCCCATAGGGTTTTCTTGGCTGTAATCTTTACCGGAGCAGATCTTCAGGTCTTTTTCTTCCACGGAGCTGCTGGGTGGGCTTAAACTGCCAACCTTTCAATTAGCAGTTGAGCACTTAACCATAGTGCCACCAGGGCTCCTGAGGAAGTTTGTGAAAAGAGGCAGAGGTCAACTGTAACCCAGCTCTCCGAGCTCTCCTTTCCACACTGTTTGAACTTTCATGGGGAGCAGTGGGAAGTCACAGTTGCTTTGTGAAAATGGGAACTTGGGCATTATTTTTCCTTTCACAGAAGCACGTAGTATGGTGGTTTAGGGTTTCTTCAGGCTCCAGAGTCTGATAGACTGGACGTGAATCCTGACTCCCTTGCACACTTTCTGATCCTGGATAAGTTGCTTGTCGTGCATGTAATTGTTAAGAATTGAAGGAGCCATTGCACATACAGCAATGTTGGGATAATGCTTGGCAGGCAGTAAGAGCTCAGTGAATGTCATGTTTCATTGTTTTTATTGCTATTAGCTGTAATGGATTATTTGATGCAGGTTTTAACCAGATTAAGAAGGGATTGTGTGGATGGACAGCTACCCAGTTCTCTATGTGTGTGAGTTCTATGCCAGGGCTGTTGCAGATGTGGCTGGATTCTAGAAAGAGAATTCTCCAAAGGTGTGAAAGGTAACAGGAATCCTCACTTTTGTTCCCAGAGGGGAGAGACTGAGCAAGTCTGACTTTCAAGCAAGTCGGCTGTGTATCAGGGTAGAGCTGCTGCCTGGCAGCTGGGGCAGGCCCAGGCTCTCGCCAGACCCCAGCTGTGGTGGGGAGCAAGCAGCTTGCGGCGGCTTCTGCTCCATCTGCTTTGCTGCTGGCATGGCATTGGGACAAGCTTCCTGGGCCTGGCTAAATCTTATGAGCAGATGGCACAGTGAGCTCCTGGTCAGGTCAAGTGGAGAATGTGACACACAGTGCTAACTTCTGTGTGTGTTTGTTTTCAGAGTAAACCTACAGGGGCGGATGCCTTGCGGGGACATGGTAAGTAGTGTGCCTTGTCGAGACTTGAAAACGGCAGTCTCTAATGCTATCTGTCCCTATACAAACCATCTGAAAGGCCGAGTATTCCCATATGTATGTTTCATGTGGTCATAAGATTAGGAAAATACATAAACTAAAGCTTCACAAACAAAATTATCCATCAAAATCCTAACTGTAAGACTTATTCTTTTAGCAACGCCTTTTCAAATCTCTGTTTTCAGGTTCTCCTTAACTCGGGTAGGAGCCCTGGTGGCGCAGTGGTTCAGCGCTTGGCTGCTAACCAAAACGGTTGGCAGTTGGAACCCACCAGGTGCTCTGAGGGAGAAAGACGTGGCAGTCTGCTTCCATAAAGATTTACAGCCTTGGAAACCTTGTGGGGCAGTTCTACTCTGTCCAATAGGGTCACTATGAGTTGGAATCGACTTGACGGCAATAGGTTTGGTTTGTTTGGTTTTTAACCCAGGTATTATGAGATTTCTCAGTCAGGTTCCAGGGGATCATGATCAGGTGAGGGTAAATAGTGGTGAAGTGCCAGAAAGACCTTTGCAGGATATGGAGGAGTCCCTAAGAGTGTTATTTGGTTTTATTTAGAAGCATAAGTTGGGGAAAATGCCTTTTGTCGGTTGAAAGTATGTAAAAATTCACTGCACCACTAAGTGCTTTTTTCCAGCTTATGTCTTTTTTTGTTTTTAAGTGCCGCAAAACTTTCTCCTACCGAACATTTCCCTTCTCCGCAGCTAGGGGTAGTGACACCTGCACGGGCTCTTTTCTTGCTGGCCAGAGAAGTCAGAGCTGCAGTTTTGTGGCCTTTGTCCTGAGCTACGGAGTGCTCCCAGTGCTGCTCTCCGAGCTGGTGCATGGGTGGGATTCATCAGCCCCCTGTCTTCTCTAAGGGGCGAGCCCCATGCATGTTGCTCTGCAATTCTAGGAGCCGCACTCCCCCTGAACGTGCAGATCATGCCTGTGTTTGTGACCGAAGAGGAAGCCGGCAGCCTCCGTGAATTCCTGGTGGAGCAGATGACTAGGTAAGCGAGCTCACACATGCTGAAGCTTCCACCGAGTTTAGGGACTCCGCTTATATAGTTTATGCAGACAAGCCCTGGCTCATCCCACCCTTCCTTAACTTCATATTTCCCAGCGCTCTGCCTTGTATGGGAGCATTTGGAAGGTCAGCGTAGCGAGAGGCGGCATGGCCTAGTGATGAGCAGTGTGACCTGTGTCCATTTCCCTGCCTCAGTTCAATTATTCCTTCTGTATAATGGGCCCAGTAGTATCTACTTCCTGGGGTAATTATAGGAGCCCTGGTGGCACAGTGGGTAAGCACTCAGCTGCTAACCAAAAGGTCGGCAGTTTGAACCCACTAGCCACTCCGCGAGAGAAAGATATGGCAGCCTGCTTCCATAAAGATTAGTCTTGGAAACCCTACAGGACAGTTCTGCTCTGTCCTGTAGGGTCCCTATGAGTCGGCCTCGACCCCACGGCAATGGGTGGGTGTTAAAATTGGAAATAGCGTGTGTATAGCACCTAGCGTAGGACCTGACTCAAAGTAGACCCTCCCATTGTAGGTGACTCTTCCTTCGTGGGCTGTGCCCTTTCAGTAGGTGACCCTGGTGTCACTGTGTGAAGCCTGGAGTGAAGCCAGGTGTTGCCTTATTGTCACCCCTGTGGTTTGACCCTGATGACGTCTTAGGCTCTGTGGCCTCAGACACCCACTTGTTACTATGCCGATGACTTTGAGGGAAGCTGTGCTTCAGTTTCCCACGGGGAGGGGCACTCTCCCTGGACACGGGCGATGTGCCCCTCCCTCATGTCTGCCTTGCCCACTAGCCCTCCTGCCTCGCCAGCCAGACTCCAGGGCAGCTCAGCTCGACACCCTCTTAGGGACTGGAGCACATCTACACTAAAGGAAAACACCATCAGGCATGTGGGATCCATGGCCTGGACTTTGGCCACCACCCTGGGGCCCATGTCCCCTGACTTCGCTGGGCCAAATGACACGGGGGAGAACGGATACCTGTTTGGCTATGATACAGAGAATATCAAGCCCACAAAGCTGCACAGCACAGCCAGGAGCACAGGCTCTGGTCCCAGTGGTGCCCTGGTAAAGGAGCTTGGCTTTTCCCAAGGGGAACTGGACTTGTCTGTACTCCACATTCCAGAAGCTTTGGAAATGGAAACATCCTCAGGTCATTCTGCCTTCCCACACATGTCTGCCCCAGATGGTGGTGGTCCACACCACAGGGAATCAGTCAGCAACCTTGGCAACCCAGAACCCAGGCCTTCTGAGGACCTGCCTGCAGGCACAGCCACCAGTGGCTCCCTCACTCCCTCCTCTCCTGAGGTGCCCACCCAGAACGGAGCCCTGGAGCAGCAGGAAGACCTTCCTGGCGACAGCCACCAAGCCCCTGTTCCCAGAGAAGATCCTCTGCTCGGAAGGACCAGCAGGCCATTGCCATCACCTCCCTCAGCTTCGAGGCAGAGAGGAAAGAAAACTCCCGTGGAGGAGCAAGGCGTGGGTCTTTGTGTGGATGGGGTCCACGAGAGCCATTCAGGCCTGGCAAACCATCAGGACAGCGATCCCTCTGCAGACAGAACAGACTCACAGTCAGCCCCGGCGGAATCCCACCTGGGACTTGTGAGGATGAACCTCTACACGCACAGTGTGAAGGGGCTAGTGCTGTCCCTGCTGGCGGAGGAGCCGCTGCTGGGGGATGGCCCAGCCATCGAGGAGGTGGTGAGTGCCCCCCAAGTCCCCCTGCCCTGTGTAGCCAGCCCTCCACTTCCTAGGGGCATGGACATGCAGAAAGGATGATTCCCGCACAGCCCTGCCCTGAAGCAGAGGGAAGGGGGTGATAAGGCATGGCCCCTAGCTATGGGGCCTCGTTTGTAAAATGGGTTTGTAAAATGGGGTCACGAGAGTACCTACCTCCATAGGTTTTTGTGGGGAGTGAGTAAGATTGTTGAGTAAAGCACATAGCATAGCGCCTGGTGCAAAGGTGTCCAGCAAATGTAGTCCTCCTCTGTCCTGCTCCTCCCAGATCGCCAGAGCGCGGGCCCTTGAGGGAGGAGAGGCCTGAGCTGGAGGCTCTTGCACACAGGCCTTTCCATCTCTGAGCCTGGACTCCCTGTCAGTAGTCTGGGGGTGATGACTGACACCACGTGGTCCAGATGCAGTGTGGCACTGTGTGGAGAGACTGTGCCAGCCACAGACCTGGCCACTGCTGTGCTGCTCATTGCAGCTAACCTTCTCATTTCCTAGGCTGGGAGCTCTTGCCTCTGTCCCAGCTGGAGTCTGTGTCTGCACAGCCTGGGCTGGGAGTTCTTCGGAAGCAGCACAGTCCCCTCCACAGTCTCATGATGGTACTGGGGTTATCTGGAGTGCTTTTCTAGAAGGCCTGGGACATTGGAAAGCCTACCTGGCCCCGGTGGACTCTCCTTAAGCCACTAGCATCCCCTTCCCCACTTAGAGCAGTAAACTGACCTTCTAGGGGCCCACGCTGGAGGTTCAGTTGCTATAGTAACAGCCTTGCTTTAGCTGGCAGGGAAAGTGGTAGCGGTGAGAACAGCAGGTTGGGATTGCTGCAGGGCAAATGTGTCCTGGGGTTTGCCTTGTTTTCATTGGTAAATCTGTATTATTCTAAGGTGGTCTTATTAACATGCTGGGCTTGTGACCCTCCATCAGTGAGCAAGTCACCTTGGAGCACAAAGGAGGAGGGGAGGCTGCCAAGCAGCTTCCTCTGCACAGAGCCCCTTGCAAGAGACTGCATTCCTCTCGAGAGCTGTCTTGCTCAGTCCCCAGATCACCCAGCTGTGGCTTATCTGTTTCCTGTATCCTCACTTGCCATAGCTCTGAGCGACTTTATCCATCTCCTGCTTTGCAGCAGCAGGGAAGTTGTGGCTGCAGTGCCGTACAGCTCATCTCCCCCACGCGGTCTTGCTTTTCCTGGTCTGTTCTGCACGGTGCTGAGCCTCAGACATGACATGTTGAAGGCTCAGTGTGTGGATGCAGTAGTGTGGATCCAATCTCTCTTTACCTTCCTTCCAAAAAGAAAAAGAAAAAACAGCGCAGGCTACTCTTTGAGAAGTAAGTAAGTTAAGATATATTCTGCGTCAGCTATATGCTAAATACATCTGTTGTTTTAGCCAAGCCTTAGAACAGCTCTTTGAGGTAGGCACTTTAACCCTCATTTTACCAATAAGAAAACAGACTCATTGAAATAAAAAGAGCTAGTACAGGTGGTAGGTCCAGAATTCTTGCTTGTTTCTTCTCTTACCTCTCCCATCTCCAGCCTGTCTGTTCCCCCACTGATCTGCCCTTGTAGTGATACGTGGGAAGATGAAGAAAGGGATTAGACCCTACCCTCTGTGGCTCTTGATATATGGATATATCATTTGATTTGTCAAGGCCCATCCATGTTGTTACGACAACAGCCTCCATGGACTTTCATGTAAAGTAGGGTTTCTTGCTGTTAGTTGCCATCAAGTCAATTCTGACTCATGGCAATCCTGTGTAGGCCTCAAGAAATAGAATGTAGTTTCATGGAAGAAGAAAAGCTAGTCTTTTCTAAAAAGAGTAGGGGTAACCGACTTTGATCAACCTGTGGACTTAAAGAGCAGACTTGTTAATCAGACGTGATGGCTATATATTTAATAATTGGGAGAAATCTTTCATTGCCTTTTTGCCACAGACCTGCATATAAAATACTTGACCTCATTTCCCCTAGACCCTCTGCTGCTACCTAGTAAACCCCAATCTCCTGCAGAATGGTGAACTACAGTTCAGATGTGCCGTGAGCACAACCCCGTGAAAGGGTTCCTTGATTATGTTACATACTGCCGAGGTACCCGTGGGCCATTTTACCACCTTGTCTTGTAGAGCACCTCCCACCGCTGTGTTTGGGCCTACGGGAGCAGGCATTGGAGAGGGCTGGGAGAGGCTGGGGTTGGTTCACAACAGTAGAGGAGGCTCACAGCAGGGGGCAGCATAGAGCCACTGATGGCTTCCTGCTCCAAACAGATAATCGCCTTGACCTTCAAATACAGTGATCAGATCAATTATTCATCACTCCAATAGGACGTTGGGCTGTCTGTGTACAGTAGTTGAGCCCTGACGTCCAAGTGAGCATGTTGTCGTAAAATACAAGTGCCCTCCCCCACCCTCATGAAACTAGTACTTCTAAGTGAAGGTGTGTTCATGTGCTGTTCCCTCTGCACACTGTGGCACAGACTAGACTTGAGCCATTTGTTCTGGTATGAACGAGAAGTCGGAAGGTCCAGGAATCTGCCCCAGCTAAGTAATTAATTCAGAAGAAAAGCCTGGCAATCTACTTCCAAAATATCAGCCAATGAAAACCCTATGGAGCATAGGGTTTTCTGACACACATGGGGTCACCATGAGTCAAAATGGACTCAGTGGCAACTAATAATTAATTACCTCCTAGCACCCTATGTGGCATAGTGGTCAGTGGTTCGAATCCACCAGTTGCTCCTTGGAAACCCTATGGGGAAGTTCTACTCTGTCCTGTAGGGTCACTATGAGTTGGAATCGACTCGACAGCAATGGATTTAGTTTGTTTTTTTTTGAGGACTCTATAGGACAGAGTAGAATTGCCCCATTGGGTTTCCAGGCTGTAATCTTTACAGGAGCAGAACACTAGGACTTTCTCCCAGGGAACTGCTAGGTGGATTCTAACCACCAACCTTTTGGTTAGCAGCTGAGTGCTTAACCACTGAACCACCACGTCTCCTTTAGGGCTGTTTTGAGGATCACATTATGGAGTAGTATATATTAGGGGTTGGTGAACTTTTTCTGTAAAGGATCAAATAGCAAATATTTTCAGCTTTGTGCAGCTACTCAACTCTGCTGGCGCAGTGTGAAAGCAGCCGCAGACAATAGTAAATGGGTGTGGCTGGGTTCCAGTGTTTACAGACATGGAAATTGGAATTTCAGATAATTTGCACATGTCACAAAGTATTACTCTTCTTTTAATTTTATTCCCCAACCATTTAAAAATACGAAGACGATTCTTAGCTTGCAGGCTGTGCAAAAACAGGTGGTGGGCTGGATTTGACCCATGGACCATAATTTGCTTATCCCTGGTATATATGAATACACTTGGTCACCAGAAAACAAGTGTCCACACATTATCCAGCATAACATCTTGTGATTACCTGTGCATTTATGGTTAATAAATTTTATCTTGAGTACAAGTTCGGCCGAAGACTCCAGAAGTCAGGCTTAATGCCTGCAGGGGAAAGTCAGGGGTTGGCATGGCTCACTTTCTGTCCTCATTGTGTTGTCTTGGGGACACTGGCTTGGGATGGGAGAGGTGACTGTTACCAGGTCCCTGTGGTCCAGAAACTGCCAATGAGGCTGTGATTTGACTTTATGGTGAAGGCTTGTACATGCACGCACACATGCATGCACCTGCATCAGTTAAATTGGAGGTTCATTTGCATCTGTTAAACTCAGTGTTGGTTAGGTTTAAGTGGATGACTTGAGGTATTGTGCTTGTCTTTCCTGAGCATACATACTTTTACTTAACTATGCACCTTCCATTTAAACCAGATAGTTCCTGAGTTGAACACGCGTGCTCTTGGCCTTGTTCGTTTATTCACTCACTTAGTGGGTCTTTACTTAGCACCTGGTAGGAGCCAGGAACTCTGCTAGGGATTGGGGGTACAAAGATGAGCACAGAAAATAAAGCCTTGGATGTCAGGACTGGCAACTTAAAATATCACTTTTGAGACACTCAGACATAAAAACTAATTTAATGCCAATACACTAACAAAAATAGCACTTGAGCTTCATAACCTTCACTTCAGAAGCATTCTGTTTGCCTCTGTTCTTTCTATGTGCCCTCCATTTTCTTACATAGCTATTGAAAGTCATCAGTCCACAGACAAGTCATTTGTCCTTACTAAGAGACACCACCTCTTTAATAATGCTAGTTGTCATTTTAGTGATGCTTTTTAAAAATGCCTTGCCTCAGGATAGCACTTTAGAGTTTACAGAGGATTTTTATAGGCGTTATTTCACTTACTCCACTTAACAGCCCTGCATAGTATTCCCATTTTGCAGATGAACAAAGAAAGAGACACAGAAAATTTCATAACTTACCCTGGGTTATTTGGCCAGGAGGAGGCTGAGCCAGAATGAGTTGCATCGGTGAGCTGTCTGATGCTCAGGAACAATGACCTTCTTAAGGCTGCAGCAGCCCCAGAGAGGCCAGGGCTCAGGGAAGCTGGGAGAGCCACTGGAGGCCCCGTTTCCAGCCTGAGCCCATCAGGGCGCGACTGGTGTATTTGGTCCAGTCCAAAGTGGAGCTTGAAGAATTATGTTTCAAAAGAATATTTAAGGATGAGAAAAGTTGCTCATGCTATACTATTAGGTTAAAAGACTGTTATCAATCATTATTTATGGCTTGATCTTAGTTTTTATTTTATAAGAAAAGAATTACACAAAAGTGTTCTCAACCGTCCCTGCACATTACTCATCTCCTGGTGGAAGGTGTTTGAAAATACAGGCTCCTGGACCTCATCTCCTTGACAGCCTTCCTCAACTGGGTTCCTCCCCTGAACCACGGAACAACACAGAGAACTGTTTTCCTGACACTTCTTGGTCCTTCTAAGGACAGTGTGTAGCTAGTACCTCTAGGTGCATGGGAGAGAGGTTAACTCATGACATACAGTGGAGGACTTCTCAATCCAGGCCGGGCGAGGAAGACTGGGGTGGGGCCCAGACCGCCTGGATTGTTAACACGGCAGCCTGGTGGCAGCCTGGTTAGAAGCATATAGTCCATGCTGTCACCAGTGGCTCTTACTGGATGAGGAGATTAGGGGTCATTTTTCTTTGTTGCTTTTCTCCCCTTAAATTTTTTTTTTTCCCTGCTCATCTCTGTTTTGTACAATAGAATCCTTAATTTAAAAAGCAGAGAGAGAGCATAAGTGTGAAAGTTAGTACTTCTCTAAAAGCAGGCAAAAAATGGTGAGTCCAAAAAGCTAAATCAGGTGGCCACTAAGGTATTCTTTGCATTGTTGTTTTTTAACTAAGTCCGTGGTGGAAGAGAAAGCCCTCAGAAGGCTCTGAGGCAAGTTCTGCCAGTGCGTGACCCTCTCCTGGCCCCTTTGCAGTACCACAGCAGCCTGGCATCCCTGAACGGGCTGGAGGTCCACCTGAAGGAGACGCTTCCCAAAGACGAGGCTGCCCCGGTGAACAGGACATACAACTTCACGCACTACGACAGTATTCAGAATGTGCTGATGGGTAAGGAGCAGGCATTGCATCCAGAGGCACGCCAGCCCAGGACAGGGGAGCCTTTGAGAGTGGGGGAGGTTAGGACTCAGGCCCAGCACCACAGGGAGGGTCCCTGCACAGAGTTGTCTGATGCTGCTTAGCGTTGGCTGCTCTCTGCGTGCAGCCCGGCTTCCGCTGAGATTAGGTTCACTTGGCAAACACTTGTTTGCTCATTTATCTTTTTTTGACAAATTTTAAGAGAAGCTCACACTTGCTCAAATATCTGTGATGATAAGGTCTGCCTCTGTTTTGCGATGTGTGTGTAGAGCCTGGGTGTTGCTCATTATTGGGGACAGCGTGTGGTTTCTTGCACGGTGGCAGCAGTTGGGGCCCAGCACCCCACACCTTTGCTACTCTCCCCCTCGGCATCCACATCTGTGACCTTGAGCCGGGCTGTGTCCCCGTTACAGTGCGGGGGGCTAGAGGAGTGGGAAGAGAGGAGTGTGCAGTCACAGCCTCTCCGTCCTCTTCCCGAAGCAAACCTGCCAGCAGTGGCCACAGCCCAGGATCGCCGCTTCCTCCAGGCCGTCAGCCTGATGCATTCCGACTTTGCCCAGCGACCCGCGCTGTATGAGATGACCATAAGGTGAGCCTTCCCCTGTGCTGCTCGCTGCATACACAGACTCAGAACCTTCTTCCCTGGGGTCCCAGCCGGTGCTTCACTCATTAGTCAATGAAGAACGTTCTAGTTACTACACTCAAGGTCTGCCTTTATCTGCGCCTGTTGCTGCCATCATCTACCCTCATTCATTCCTGGGTCATGTATTTTCTGAGTCTCTTTCTGGGGCTTGGACCTGCTGTAGGCTCTGGGGTTACAACAGTGAAAAAAGCCTTAAGGACCTCACTGTCATAACTAAGGAAGGAGGTTCTCTGTTTTCCTGGCCATCAGTGATGTTTCAATAATGTGGTTGTCTTCCTCACTGAAAAAGTAATACCTGCTCATTATAAAAACATTCAGACTTTTCAGAAACATATAAAATAGCACATTTCCCCTCCTCACCCCATCACCCACCCAAGAAATTACCGTAGTTAATAGTTTGGTGTCTGTTACTCCAGGTTTTGTTGTCGGTTTTATTTTTTGTATGCAGAGTGTAGATTATTAGTATTTAAAAAATAATTTTAGTACTCGTTTAAAAAATCGGATCACACTAATTATTGTGCTACAAGTTGATTTTCTCACTTTACTGTATACCTTGAACACCCCCATGTCAGTAAGTGTAGCTCTATTAATTATCACTGTAATTTACATTATTTAACCACCAAATTTGATTTTTTTTCTCTCTATGTCCTTTTATGAAACCGGTAGCAGAAGATAAGGCAAGTTGTAGGGCCAGGAGGGGTTGGCTGCCATGTTCCAGGCATTTGTTGTCTATAACATTCCATTTAGTTCTTGGGACCATCTGGTCAAGTGCATTATTTAATCCCCATTTTACAGATGACGAAACTGAGGCACAAATAGACGTGACTTGTCCTAGGGCCACATTCTTAGTAAGTAGTAGAGCCAGGATCTGAATCCGGTCTCTGACTCTGAAGTACATGTTCTTTGCACACACGTTTCCAGGTTAAGGAGGCACGTGGGAAGGGTGTGGTGTCACAGACTTCTGTTGGAGTCTCAGTTCTTGTCACAATGACAGTGCTAATGTTCTGACTCCCGCCACACTTGAGTGCCAGGTACTTCTGCTGCCTGGCACCACCTCCGTCTAATATTGCAGTCTATCTTTCCGTAATAAATGTGTCTTTTCTGGCATCAGTTCAGAGCTGCTCCAGGCTGGCAACCTAGATGTGATTTGTATCCACAGTCACTGGTTTGGGAACTGGCCGTGTTGGCTGTGTATGTGTCTGAGTGAGTGTCTGTTTTGTTGGAGAAGGAACAAGTAAAGTGCCAGCATCTGACCCACTAAGCACCTTGTTGCTCTGCAGTATTTCTCCTTCCTTGGAGCTGAGAGGGTTTTTTTTTTTTTCCTCCCTTAATAAGAATTCTTCAGGTTTGGGATCTGTAGCTCAAGGGTTTTGCTGAGAGATTATTTTAGTAATAGTAAAAAAAAAAGCTACCATTTCATAATCACTTACCATGCACTAAACCCTGTCTAAGGCAATTTAGTATATTTCTTCCTACTCATTTAATTTCTTTTTTGAAAAATCATTGAGATAAGTCCTGTTGTCATCTCTGTTTTACAGATGAGAAAACTGAGACTCAGAAAGGTTAAGTAGCTTAGCCAAGGGCACACAGCTAGGAAGTGATAGGGCTGGGAGTAGCACCCAGGTATGTCTGATTCCAGGTTCGTGCCTGTAGCCGCCAAGCCGAGGACCTCCTCCCATGACTGTAAGAAGTGTTTGACCTGCTGGTCCAGAGAGTGGCAGAAATCATTTAAGCTAGGTAGGCCATTGAGCCCTTGAGGCCCCAAGGAGAAGCTGGAGGAGGATGGAATTCTCCTCCCCACTTACATGGAAGGAGAGATCTGGGAGGGGACCTTAGCAATCCCTGACTCTACCCTTTCTTACTAGATTTGGGGAAACCGAGGTCCAGTGAGGAAATGACTTGCCCAAGTTCCCACAATAGTTAGAGACAGGCAGGAACCAGGAACCAGGTAGGCGCCTGGCCTTAGAGTTGGTTGCTTCCCAGTGGATGCTCCCTCTCCTTCTGTGCCCACAGGGTGTCTGTGGTGTGTCTTCACATCCCTAATACCTCATCTGAGCACCCCCAGTGTGGACAGAGGATTAGACACCATCCTCTGTCATTATGTCATCCTGGAGGCAGGGCTCTCTGAGCCTTGGGGTCCTTGTCTCAAATAGGGATCGTACCTCTACAGCACAGGGCTCCTGTGAGGAGTAAACCAGAGAATATGTGGCAAGCATTCTGCATAGCCCCTGGCACACAGCACATGAAACACGCACTCATCAGTTCACTTATTCAATAATTACAACTTCAGGATCGGTGGTTCTGGCCACCATGGTAGTCCCAGCATCGAGTATGTTGAGAGGAAGGAAAGACTCTTATATTGGCACCAAAGCCTGAAACTCAGTGTGTAGTTAGGAGCCTGCAGCACAACGGTGCACACACAGCTCTAGGGCGTGCCGGGGCTACTGTAACCAGAGAACTCTCCAGGGTCTTTGTGGTCTGAGATTTGCATGGGCAGCATCGAACTGTGCTCTTCCTTCTTCCTCCACAGGAATGCCTCCACAGCTGTGTACGCCTGTTGCAACCCTGTTCAGGAAACCTACTTCCAGCAGCTGGCCTCCCCAGCACGGAGCTCGGGCTTCCCCAGTCCTCAGGACGGTGCCTTCAGCCTCTCCGGCAAAGCCAAGCAGAAGCTACTCAAGCACGGGGTGAACTTGCTGTGAACTGCACTGCAGGAGGAGGCTTCTGACCCAGGAGGTGACTGTAAAGTGGAACACCAGCAATGCCAGCTCTGCCTTTTTAAGTAGAAAAGGGTGCTGCATTTTCTTTTTCTTGGAATATTCCCTTTTTTAGGAATGTCATATTTGAGTTTTTATTACCTCTTCTGTAGATTTGGAGGGTGTAGTTCTTCAGGTCAGCAGACCTAGAGCGCTTGAGAGAAAGCTTTATTATCTGGGTAGCTCTGGGGCCAGGGCGGGGCGCTTTGGTTCCTTATGCCAAAGAGGTGCAGGGCCAGTTTGTCTACCCTGTTAAATTGAGCCTGAGGCATTTGCCATTACTGCTGCTATTCCATCCAGTACCACAACATTGCAGGTTGGCCTTTTTTCTAGAATTGGGTTGTCCCCAGCCTGGAGTGGTTGTCCAGCCCTTTCACCAGGGTGGGCAGTTTGAGGTGTGACTTCACAGTGAGGAGACGGACTTGTTAGCCAGCAGAGCAGAACATGCCCTCACTTGTCCATGTAGGTGTTCCGCAGGGGCCCCCGTGAGGTCTGGATGCTGAATGCAGGGAAGCAGCCAGAGATGCAGAGGGCACCTCTTTTGAATTCTTCTGGAGGTATGTTCAAAACCAGGAACCTGTTCTTTGGCATATCCCCTGTTGGGGGCAAATCTGGATACCGTGGAAGGGAGTTTGGGTTTTAGAGAAAACTAAGCGCCCTGAGGGGCCGTGACCAGAGCGCTAGGTGGTGGTGGCCCAGGCGGTGCTGGTGTGGTTAGAAGTGGGCTGTGGGGAGGGTTACTCTCGAGTGAGTGTCCCCAGACAGGCATTTCCAAAATGTTTTTGGACCAAAGCAAAATTGTGCTTTTCAGTGGTGGCTGTGTGAAAGAAAACAGCATTCGTTTGTATGTTTCTGGGCTGGTGTGGTATTTAAACATCGGTACTGTTACATTGTAGTCAGGTATGTTATGGATCACAGGGTGAACATATTTACCAAAATCTTACGAATGTTTACTGGAAGTTCCTGAGATTCCTTTTGAAAACTATGATTTTAATGATTTTATGTTAATGAACAAATGTCTAATGTTTATGGCATGACGTATTTTTCTGAAAACAAACTTGCAAGGGCTAAAAATAAAATAATCAATAGCACTATTGAGTTCTGAGTGATTAAATAGTAACATTTCTAATAACAAAGTTAAGGTTTAAAAAAAAAAGTTGCCCTTGAGTCAGTTCTGTATCATGGTGACCCCATGTGTATCAGAGTAGAACTGCATTCCATAGGGTTTTCAGTGGCTGATTTTTGGGAAGTAGATCACCAGGCCTTTCTTCCAAGGCACCTCTGTTTAGACTCAAACCGCCAGCCTTACAGTTAGCAACCGAGTGCATTAAACATTTGTACCACTCAGGGACTCCTAAGGTGAGGTAAATATGTTCTATATACCCATGTATGCATTTATTTTGCATGGATACAGTTCTCTTTTCCTTCCATGGATTCGGTGTGGCCAGGTAAGGCAGTGTGTGTTTCAGAAAGGTCTGTCTGTGAAGGTGACCGGGCTGCAGCCTGCTGCTCCTGCAGCTGACCAGGCAGGCACATGTCACCTTCTCCTCTCACCTCTCCTTGGGTCTCTCTTCTGGCTGGCCAAAGAGGATGACCTTCCCAGATGGAGGAGGATCCTGCCTCAAGCTAGCATCCTACCTTGTCCTACTTCTTTGCTAAAATCTCTAAGAAAAAATTCATTGCAAGTTTCTGTGCCAACCTCTCGAGGAACGCTCCTATGACTAACTGGTGTATAGCACATCCCTTTTCTGTCATGGGGTATTTTTAAGCTGCCACACTTCTCCTTTTGCTAATTGATTCTCCAGAATCAAGAGGTCCCCAGCCTTGAGCTCTGTGAAATTACAACCTGTTAAGTGTTGAAACATGGACAGAATGTGGAGCCCAGAGCCTGTTTTAGTCTGCCCAGTGGTCACTCAGCTCACTGCCTGTGTTTGAGGACTCTTTTCCCAACAAGATCTGTGTCACGAGAAAATCACTTGGCTGTCCCAGAGCTCTTCCTGGATGTCATGCTATCGGCAGACCTTAATCTTACTTGCTTTGCTTCCAGAAACCTCTCTTCCCACCTAATCTCATCTGGCCGCCTTTGAGCCTAAAAATGCTCTTAATACAAAATACTTTTGTTTCTAAGAATCAGAGCTCTTGGGGCAGCCAGCTGTCTCCCCTTTAAAGCTTACCCCCAAGTTGAGACTTAATTAAATGAAGAGCGTGAGGTAAACACAGCAGAATGTGCAGGCCCGCTTCTGCGGTCTTTTAAAAATATGTCCACAAGTTTTTGCCACAAATTCGGGACCTAATTCCCTTCCCCTTGAGTGTGAGCTGTACTTCCTGACTGGTTTCTAAGGAATAGAATGTGGCAGAAATGATGGAGTGTGACTTCCAAGAGTAGGTTATAAAAGACATTATGGCTTCTGTCTGTCTCTGTCTCATTCTCGTTTCACTCGTTTTGGGGAAAACTGGTGGCCATGTAATGAGAAAACTCAAGCAGCCCTGTGGAGAAGCACTCATGGTGAGGAGCAAGGCCTCCTGCCAGCCCCATGTGAGGGAGCCATTATGGGATGGAAGCAGCCCCTCCAGCCCCATTCAAACCTTCAGATGAGTGCAGCCCAGCCAGCTGACATCCTGACTGCAGCTACATGAGAGACCGTGAACCAGAACCAACCGGCTAAGCCCCTTCTGAATTCCTAACCCTCAGAAAGTGTGTGAGATAACACACAGATGTTATTTTAAGTCCTGGTTTAGGGGTTATTTGCCAGGCAGCAATAGGTACCTAACACATTTGCATGTCCATACCCCATCCACCAACCCAGGGTCCCTGGAGCCTTCATACAGGTGACTCGCTGAACGTATCATCTGTGTGCATCCGGGACAGCACGCTCCACCACCTGTTCACAGAGAAAGTGGAAAGCTCTGGGGCGGGTCAGGCCCTGCTAGTTGCTCAGTGCCTGCCATCTGTGAAGTATAAGGATAAAGTTCCCATCAAGTGATTGACAGTGGCAGTTAGATTCCCACCTGGAAAGACTGTTCCCGAAGGGCACTTTGAGCCTAATCAAACTGCCTCCTCCCCTGGAGGGAAGTATCCAGGCCTGTCTGTTCACATCACCTTGACAACGGGAGCAAGTGGACATTCGAGCTTGGTTGAATTCATTCTCCCCAAGTGTCTCTCATGCATATTTCACCCCCTTGAGATGCTCCTTACATCCATCCAGTCACTGCATCCTAACACCCCACCCCGTGAGGAGTCCCATCCTTGCCACAGACCCTGTGTCATGGGCTGAATACTGCCCACCCCCTTTACTTCCCTCCCACTCCTCACAAAGATATGGATGCTACCTTATATGATAAAGTGTTCGCAGATGTGACTAAGGATTTTGAGATGAGATTAGCCTGGGTTATCCCAGTGAGCCCTGAACGCCATTACAAGTGACGTTTTAAGAGAGAGGCAGGGGGAGATTAGACAGGCAGAGGAAAAGGTGATGTGAATACTGAGCAGAGATTGGAGTGATGCAGCCACAAGTCAAGGAATGCCAGCAGCCACCAGAAGCTGGAAGAGGCAAGAAATGGATTCTTCCTACAAAGAATTTCAGCTCAATCAAACTGATTTTGGACTTTGGGCCTTCAGAGCTGTGAGAGAATAAATGTCTATTACTTTAAACCACCAAGTTTGTGGTCATTTGTTACAGCAGCCACAGGAAGCAAATATATCCTGCAAGCATGGTATCTTTGTCCTTCTGGCAATTCCAAGCTCCCTCTCTTTGAATATGGCAGAGCCCCAGAGCATCTGTGGGGCTAGAGAGAGGGGGACCACACCACAAAGGGCCTTGAGTTGTTGTCAGAGGCTGGGGAGTCACTCAGTCTGGTTCTCATTGGAAAGGTCACCAGCTCCTGAGTGGGTGACAACAGGGCAAGAGCGGGAAGTGGCAGGAGGTTGCTGTGGGGTGCAGGTGGGAGAGGGGCGTGGCCGGACAAAAGGGAATGGGCAGAAGTGAGGACTAGTTAGGCGCTTGAAGCAGATGACTTGGATATTGGTCACTTGCATGGGGCTGGGGGGTGAGAAGTGGGGTTGGGGGTAGGGTAGAGGGACTTGGCTACTTTGTGACAGGCAATGTCTTCAGATGGAGGAAGCAGCCAGGGAAAATCCCTGCTCTCAAGGAGATCCTAGTCCAGTGAGTAGGCAGGAAACGGATGCTGGTACTGCCAAACGGTGTGCAAGAAACAACAGGATAGGTTCACCCTGCTCCCACCACACACATGCATGCATATACACACTTGTTCCTGCCCCTTCACTGTTGGTTGATTCTGCTTCGCCTCCTTGTTCTGGGCCCTTCTGTGTAGAGATGGGAAGGGCAGGGGTCAGATTAGGTTAGGGAAGAATAGAGATACTCCTTTTTAAACATATCAGTGCAGTTGGGGAAGCTTAAGATAAAGGTTCTGAGGGCTTCAAGGTGGAAAAAGGACACCTCCTCTGTTATGTAGAACGCCTAAACCTCCAGTCAGCTGTAATTCTTCTGGGAATAAAACTGGGAGTGCTTTTTGGACCCTGTCATGAGCCAAGAGGCCGTTTCATGATTGCCGGTGTGTGCCTGGCTCCAAGTCTGAGTGCCGGCCCTTCTCTCCTGCCCCCCTTCTAATCCGCTGCACCCAGAGCTCCATGGGAAGGACTTGGGGCCCTGACCACTGGACAGGAAGATCCATGGGCATGAGCGGGGCGAGACACGCCGTCCCTGTGTGTGCTGGTGAAAAGGCACTTTATGTCCTTGATCCCCAAGCAGCCGTAATGGAGGCCTGCAGCCGCAGGAGCACATGGGCTTTGGTGTCAGGGACCTGGGTTCAAGTTGCAGCTCTGCAACTTACTGCTGTGGAAATCGGGGCAAGTTACTGTAATTCCCAGAACCTCAGTGTTCTCCTCTGTAAATTGGAGAGGAAAAGGTAGTGTGTGGAAAGGCTTG